AAAACGATAAGTAACTAATAAATTATTATTCAAAGCAATTGAAATATGTATTTGATTGCGTTATGTCACTCAGTCACGTGACTTGGGCATGAGTCATTTACTAACTAAAACCAGACAGATGAGTAATACACCTAATCAAACAATCAATTGTTGTAATTGACACGATATACATGCTACTTACATACGAGTATATTACACCAGTAGACAGAGTTTTGGGTCTGACTTCTGCATGTTAAATTTCAGTTTCTCCTACACCGAAAATATAAAAAAAAAAATTTTCTTTGATTAAAGTTTGCTTTGTAGATTTTTTTGTTTGTATTTTTTTGATGTTTGTCTGAGCGAATCAGACCCATTCGAATCAATCAAAAGTAAACTTTAAGAACTAAAAATAAAAATTGCACTATTTTTCAATGTCTAGAATCAGAATTTGAGCATGAAAACAGAAACGCAAAAAAAAAATGTTTTTCGTTGAATGGTGTTATTATTGAAACCACAACCCTTTTAATACTATAACGTTCAGTACAGTGATCTGCAACTTAAGATAGTAAAAGATATCTCACGAAAAGATAACCCAAAGAGTAAGTCAATATTAAGTAGCACACCTAGACAGAAATTTTTAAAATCGATTTTAGACAGATATCTTTAAAAATGACATACTGAAACTTTAAATCGATATCTCAAACAGTTTTTGAGTTACAGCCTTCTAAATTGTAACCGCTCAGTTCAATCAGTCTATATTTTTCTCTGAACTACATTTTTGAAATTTGCTCGGAGACAAACGATCCGATCACTATCAACTCTCTTTCTGCATGCTCTGTATATAGTTCTCCATTTTATTGATCTGACCAAAAATCGAATATTGACAAAACAAAAACGATCCAAATTGTAGGTAAAATTCAAATATTTTTTAAATTCCACTATTTTGTCAATTTGTATATTTTTTCGTCTGTGGTTAATTGTACGAACAGTATCTTCAAGTAGAATTTCTTTTAAGTTTCACCCACGGAGAATGCCGAAATTACTGCAGCAGCGGTAATGCATTCCTAACATATATGTATATTAATAAATTCTTAAATATTTAAACCAAATGATAAAGCAATTTGTTTAACTCCGAAAACAAATTTTCTATTAAAAGTAACCCAAGAAACTCTATTATGAACTCTCTTATTTATGTGTGTATATTTAAACACATTTATATGTAAACTGTAAAAAAACGTAAGTATTCAAGCAAATAATGCAATATCGTCATATGTCCTAAGAATTCAATAAGGAAAATTCGTAAGTCCAGCACTTGCATATATATACGTATTTCTCTGGATATCTGTACACCATTTACAACCACCTACCATGCAACATATTAACCACCATATGGAAATAAATACCCATACTTATACAAATGCATGAAAAAAAGAACAATGAACCAGCAATGACAATAGCAGCGCCTGAAAGTAGACATTGGCAAACAGACGTCATCGTTGCGATAAGAATATCAAAAGCTGAGTTCGTGATATTACGACATAATTTTTGGTGTTGCGCAGCGAAAAGCACACACACACACCCACTCGTATGCTTATACATATTGCTACATATATACAATGCCATATGCAAGGGATATATTTATATATATAAATATATAAATTTTTATGGTGGGCGAGTGGGAGCCACATTCACTCACTTTGACGAACATTTGCAATATATAAGTGAGTCACATACACATGCTCATGGCAACGAGCATAGAACGTAGCATTAAATGAACGCCACTGTGTGGAAAATTGAAGCACTTCAGATATTGTCAGCAATGAAATGAGGCAAGAAATTGTTGAGAAGTTGTTTCAGCATATTTTATTACCAGAAATGAGGAGAGTTCAATTTGACTTTAAAACAAACTCAACAGTAAGTTCATAGTTAATGAGCATACAAGCTGTGATTGAAGTGTCAATGCTTTCAAGCCAGTTCTCTATTTTTATTAACCCTTTAATATACGCATAGGCTAAAACTTTTTTACTTTATATTCAACCAATCTAAAACGGTGTGATAACTGCGACTAAAAGACTAAGAATTAACGCATAGAAAGAAATAACTACACAAGACAAATCGTGAAGCGTTAAAGACGACAATCTAAAATCATATATATATTTTTTTTTTCAAAATTACATTGTGACTGTGCAACAATCGGTGTGGCATTTAGTTATAGGATGGTATGTAGTCTGCTAATTTCAAAAGCAACGCAAAGGACCTATTAGCATTATGTGCCACACTGCAAAGCCGTTACTTCAGAGGTCATGCTGCTGCTCGCCAACTTTTTGTCACGACGGTGTAATGTTGCAGTGGCGCAAGTTACTTTCAAAAATTTCATTAAATATAACGGAACGCTTTTGAGCTTGCGAGCGTCAAGAGAAAGCAGCGTGCAACGCCAACGCAACAACGAGCTACTCCCTTTTGAGCAAATTTCTATGCAAACGTGCAAGCGATGTAGTGCAAATGTGTATGTGTATAAGCAGCAACAAAGTCATTGCTGCGCAAAGTGGCCACCATGCGTGTCCCCATTAGCCGCAGCGCTCAGCGCTCTGCTTCGTTGCCACTATTATGTTGGCGCTCCACACGCTTTGTGTGGATTTTTTGCGCGATTCAGACTGACTTTTTGAGGTCAACGCATCGCTGCAAGGCCATTCCGCAGCGAACAAAGCAAAAAACAATGCATAAAAGAGCGTGTAAACATTATTGGTAACAATAGCTGTTGCGGTAGCGTAAGCAGCGACCGCAACCAACACAGCAAAACCTACGAAAGTAACCACAGCGTTATTAATAACAGTTTCCGCCAATCAACTTGTTCTTACAATAAAATTAACTATTTAAAACTATTGTAGTATTAACAAAATGTATACACAAACTTGTATTCTAATCTAAGCTTTAAGCTGTGTTGCTGTAATAATTCAAAATCAATATTTTGAAAAATTGTAATCACTGAACAGCGCACAAGTCAATCAGTTTTTGCTGTATCGTTCTCAAATTTTGCACGCGTACTTTTCTCCCCAAAAAGGTGTTAATTTGTTGGCACTATCAATATCGGTACACTATAGGTTAATAGGATATAGTTTTCATACAAACTGATCGAACAAACCCAAGTCCTTGTATGAAAAACTTCTTTATTTGACAAGATATTTTTACGAAAATTGTCATGGATTATTGTTTAATATAAAGCTACATTCTCCGAACAAATTGTTCAGAACGATTTACTATAGCATACAGCTGCCATATAAATTTGCCGATTAAAATCAAGTTTTTTAATTTGACAATTTATCTTTCCAAAATTTGGTATATCTATCTGAATCAACACTAACATATTATATCCTTAAACTTTGTTCAGATCGGCCCCCTACAGCATACAGCTGTCATTTATTGAAGCTCCATTCCCTTTTCCCAAGAAATTCATAGAGCATAAAATGTAAATATTTAACTTATGTAAGCTCGGTATTAAATTTCTTTTTCATTAATTTAAGTTTAAAAAAGAAAAATATTTCAGAAAATATCTAGCTGGAAATGGAAATATAACTTAAGTTTAGGAAACAGAGAAATAAAAACACAAAACCCTCAAAGGGATTTCTGAATGCTGATAATAAGCGAAAACACACCCCAGCGACTTTAATATCAGCAACTACAAATATCCGCAAATAAGGACGTTGTAGTATGTATAAATCGCTGATCTACAATATTCAACTGTCAATTAAATACTTCACTCTTTTGTCATCGTCAAGGGCACCCTAGCTATATGCCAAGTTGTGTGCTATTAAAAATGCCATAACTGCGGTAAGGAACAATATTAAGACCGAGATTTGAAAAACTAAAAGGAAAACGTATTTTGCTTACCAGCGGCATAGCAAAGCCGTAAATATTGCGCAATATTCAAATCACGCTAAGAAGATGACGTTGCGAACTTACACGCACGCCTAAGCAATAACGGCAAAAAGGTAAAAAAAAGAAGAAAAAGCATTATACGAATTACGATTTGATGCGCGCATAAGTCGCCAATATAAGGTGGAAAGTAGAGAAAGTAGCGCGAGTGCATAATTTACACAGCACAACTTTAGCACTAAAAAGCACAACTGTATAGGCAAATATGTGCGCACGCCATATGCATTGGCATACAAACATTTCGCTAGCTTACAACACTTCACCTCAGCACGAATGCATAAATTCGTAAGCACACCTCTACATTTGCTCACACATCGAAACGGTAAATGTGAGCATTTTTACTGCATGCCTGACCTAATAAAATGTCATGCTTTCGCGCTGACATGTGAAATCAACTCACACGCCCGCATGCCACGTACCGCTGTTGCAGACGCACCACAAACTGCAGGCGCTCGAAACGAGCACAATACCGGTGATTTGGTTGGTTGTGTGCACGCGTGCATCACACAGTAACCACCAATATAAATTCACACGTGTACGTGTGCATACAGTGATGTGTGTATAAGTATTTTACCAACAGTTGGCTTGCTTGCGGTTCAATCATGGCAATACAAGGCACCAATCACACATTAACCCTGCAATGCAGATTTCGATTGAAAATTAAAATTTTCATGGCACTGGTTATCGTTTGTGGTCTCATCTTAATATGGTTAATATGTCACACCACTGTACTTCAACTATATATCACTATAATAGCATGTGATATCGGCAATAGTGTAATATTTTTGCGGCCACCACCTGGGCGTATACTTAACTTCTTGTGAATACCATATTTGTTGCATAAAGTATGCGCTTACTGATACTTAAACATTTTCACCTGCCCACATACTGAATAATATTGTCTTCACCTCATTCTATTCCTAATTCACTGCTGTTGAGCACGTTTTTCTTTTGCATTTGTGAGCTTCTCGGCAGCAGCGTCCATACAACACACGTATCCATATTCACTTTCAGTTTGTTGCGGCAGCACAGCAGCATTTTATTTTCTACAAAATATGTATTTAAATTATTTGTTGTCGGTTTCATACCGTTTCGTTTGTCGTTTATCGTTTACTTCGTTGTTCGCCGATCCGTTGCATCCGATATTTTCGCCCAGTGCACATTGTTGACCTATATTTGGGCATCAATGAATCCGGCATACAAGAGGCCATAGCCATAGAGACCGCTTCCATTGCCAACAACACTGCACCCCGCACCTCGCGCAATGCCCCTCACTTTCATTATGCTATGCTATATGCATTCGTTGCTTGCAGAGGCAGCTTTACAATCGGCATGTCCTGTTTTGCCGTCATCACTTTGTAGGCGAGTGCAATCTGGAAACAGCTTTTTGCGTGCCAAAGAGAGGGAATAGAAAAGCACATGCGCTCTTATAAAGCAAGCCAAATAATTCTCTTCAATTAGAAATTAACTTGTGATAAAACATGTAATGCTGTGGTGAAATTATACGGTAAATATGAGTGAAATGAGATATAATTTTAAGCAAGGAAATGTTTCTAGGTTTGAAATTATTAGACTTTGAGGCTCTGTATCCGAAATTTAATATTGCTTAGCTAGAAATGTACTCTATAAAGAATTTAAAATTGTTAGTTTTTAATTATAAATAATTTAAGTACATACCGTAAAACTTTTTAAGATCAAAATGAAATATTTTTCGCAATTGCAATGTTTCCGGTTTTCTCTGTGGACGAAAGCTAAAAACAAAAATCAATCTTAGCGATTTAAAAAAAAAAATTAATTTTACACAAACAATAAAATATTTCCATTCTGGTAGAAATTATATATATTTTCTAATTATTTTCTCCTGTGCTGTATCTTTCCTTGAGCTCAAACGTAGATTGCCTCTTATATTTCGGAATTTGACAATCCTAACCCTAGTGTTGCAATATCGCAACTCACAATTTTATCGTCAGATACGTTTTGACATACGAGCGTTTTTTGTGTGTGTTTTACAGTAACTTAAAATATTCATCTCGGCTAAAAAATGGCATTAAAGCGCGAATATTTTCGCATGATTATTTTTTACAACTTTCGACGTGAATGACTTCTGCTTTTTGCTGTATGTACAAAAGAAACTAAAAGGTCTACGTTTTTCGACACCTGAAGAGGCGGTTGATGCGTTTAGAACACATATTTTGGAGTTGCCTCAATCAGCGTGGCAAAAGTGCCTTGAAAATTGGTTCGAACGCATGCAAAAGTATATAGATCTTAATGGAGAATATTGTGAAAAATAATAAAGACATTTTCGATGATTAATATTTGTTGTTGTTTTCTAATACCCAAAATATAGAAGACAACTCTCGTATGAATATGGAAAATAAGCATTAAGGTTTATGCTTCGAAACCAACCGTTTCAACTAATGTTAATGTGTTTATAAATTAAAATCTCCAAGTAAAAAGAAAAATATCAACTAAAATAATTAAAACAAATTTCAGGTTTACATATAACTTTTACTTCCGCAAAAAAATTCTAAAAAAAAAGACAAATATATTTTTTCCTGCTACAAATCAGCACTATGAAAAAAGATAAGTCGTAAAAAAATATAAGACTAAATTTACCTTTTATTTTTGTGAGATTTTCCTATTTGACTTAATAGCATACCACTTACAGTATTTTCTCTGTTTATATTGCTATTCAGACGTCATTAATCTGCATGAGTTTGCTGGAAAAAGTTCTCTACACATCGCCCCCACACAAGCATGCTACCATTTGCTCCCTTTACGCAAACGAAAAAAACAACAACATCACGAAAAGCACAAATCAGCTGTGACTGCTAAAAACGTATTTAACACAAAATGCGCCCGCACAAAAAGGAAAATTTCGAAAACACCAATGAAGCTTTTCTCTTGCGCTAGTATATGTAGTCACAACGAAAAGTGAGCAAGTAAGTGTTACTGGAAATTTTACGCTACTCTCAGTGTCAGCTGGAGAGTGCACGTAAAAGTCAAATGCGCTTGTAGAGCAAGTGTGGAGCGGTAGCAGGCGCTGTTGCGTGTCAGTGGAATATAAACTTAATGGATACACTCGCAAGCGCATAAATACACACAAATATACATGACAGACACGCACATATTCGGCCGATGAATTCTGTGGTCACAGGCCGCTCAATCATTCAAGTTAGAGTCACAGGGCGAAGTGGACGTGTCGACGGATATGGAATTTTTTTTTGGTTCAGATGGTATATTCAAATAGTTGCATTGCCAATGTTGCAGTTGGCTATAGCTTAAGGAAAGTGTGTTGTAAAACAAAAAAAACAACAACCTAATGCAAATGTGTCGCAAGTGTAGGAGAAGTGAAATTTAGCAGCTTCTTAGCAATTTTCAATTTTCAGCAAACAAAAGTGTGCAGCTCTTGTGCAAGGAAGGCTCTAGCATTCAACACAACTAAGTGTGTATTAGTATGTGTGGATGTGTGTAGTAGCACATTTATGTATATGTATAAACACAACATACAGTGAGGTGTGTGAATTGCTTCTAAGCCAGATAAAAGCTTTTAGTAAAAGTAAAAGTTAAATTCAAATTGGAAATTAGAAATTGAAAAGACAAATTTGTAAGCTAAGAATACGCATGTGAAAGATTCTCAAGAAGGTCAGAAAAACTTAAAAGGCAGCAGGAAAAAATATATTTTAAGCTAATGCGAGCATTTTCTCTCAATAATCACGTATGTTTAACTTCAACTTTAATTTGATGTTTTTTCTGCTTTACATAAATTATACACACTGCCATTGAACTGGAAAATCACATCACTACGCGCGCTCTTTTGCACACACACACTCTCTCTCTCTCTTTGAATTTTGTGTTAATAGTAAAAACAGCAATAAAAACAAGTGCAAGCCAACTGAAGCGGCATGTTAGAAACAAATACAAAAAAAATCAAAAAACGTGTGCATTACAATAAAACAAGTACAACAAAAACACAAAAACACAACTTGCTGTTTTTAATTTAAAAATGAATAGTTTATAATAATTTAAATATTTTCATTTTTACATTTTTACAGTTCAATTCATAAAATAGCATTAAAGTCAAGTCTTGTGCATCACAAAATTATAAAAAAAAACAACAACAACAATTACGTTTTAACATCGTCACAACATAATGAAGTGCATAAATTCTCATTATACGATAATATTTGTTGTTTAAGTGTCTGTAAAATAAAAAAAAAAATAAGAAAACGCATAGCCAAGTGGAGCCACACGCAGCCCGAAGCGACCTAAAAAGTTAATTTCCAAAATAGAAAATCGTTTAATTAACTAAAGCAGTAAATGAATGGATATCGGTTGCAGGTGAGTAGATATTCGTTATCAAAAATAAAATTGTTGTGTTGAAAATAATATGTAAGGCAGGTCAGTCAGGATGAGGTAAAATTGCTAAAAATATGATATCAAATATTTCTTTTATTAGTTCTTGTTGCGATACAAAATAAAAATTATCGCAAATAAATATACGTTCAGTATGCTTACAATTAACAACATGGGGTTAATTGAGTGCGCACAATAACAACAACGTCCATCTGTTCACCTACGTATATATAACTACTTAATTACATACCTACAACAACGTATAATTAAATTGCAATGCTGCGTTCAATGTCCTCTGCAGGCCACAAGTGCAATTCAATTAAGATTCAAGGACACCAAATCAAAACCCAAAACCACGTAAGAGTGCGTAGGCAAATTGCAAGCAAGTAAATAATAACTGACACTGCAGGTTGGTATTTAGCACACGCAAAGAGAAAGTAATGTTAAAAGCAAAATCTGGTTTAATTTTTGATTTGTGGTATTTGTAGGCACCAAAACGCATTGCCACAACACAACAAGGTAGGCAGTCACATACATATTGCTTAGACTAGTAGTGGTAATGTTAGTTTTACGAGTCTTAAAATAACTCTAATTAATTGGATTTTATGCAAGCACTTTTGTCGTAAATATATGCTACTTCATAGTAGTCATTTGGTGGCAGATCCTTACTCTAAGTTGGATGGATGTATAAGAACCTCCCAACCAAACTTCCGAAGCTTTTGGCGTGTCACTATCGATTTTTGTGGCCTGCCGTTGCTTAATGGAATACCATTCCTTTTCCATTGACCAAAACTGGCCGCTTCTTTCTGACGGTTCAATTGTTGACTGTACAGATCCGAATTAAGAGTTTGGTCATACACGAGCAACTCATAGTGGATAATTACGCGATACGAGTTAGAAAGTTGGTCCATGAGGTCTTTTGTGCATTAACTCGTATGGCATCCATACATCGCGCTTCTTTTTGTATGCAACCTTATAGCAACGGTTCCAAATAGATTCTTGAGCTTCTGAGCAATCAAAACAGTGCTTACATAATGGTCGAACTCGACGATTTGATTCATTTTATCAATATTTGGCACAATTGGCCTTCTATAGCGTGGTGCATTTTTGCTGTCACTGATGGAATCGTCAAAAGCAAAATTGCACATTATTTTCTGTTACCTTATCGGAACCATAAAAAATATTCATATTTTTAGCCACATGACATATGTTTTCGACTTTATCGCGGAAACGCTGTAAAATGTGAAATATTTTCTTTTTGCTAGTATCCACCTTTGACGCAGGCTTAAGAAATAATGAGAAAGCAATTACAAAACTGTCTGAGAAATTTTTTTTATACAAAATCTTACCTTTCTAATGCAATAGACCGTGGCGTATCGCTTTTACACAACGGGAGCTGCAGTTTACTAAACCCATATACTAGTAAAATAATGGAATATTTTTTAATTGACCTTTAAACATATCTAATAAGCCTTACCCATCCATTTTAATAAAAAAAATCATAAAATATTTGCGATTGTTTTTCTGTATTCCGTATGTCGCACACATTTAGCGGACTATTTGAAAGTGGGAAACCACAATTTCGACCAGATAGCTTAATACGTATAACTCCACAAATGGATATATATGGAAAATTGTGGTTTTTACGCCTACGTTAATGTTTGATATTCGTAAACCCATATTTCGTCTCTTTGTTTCTATGCCGCTGGCGCGGTCTTTTGTCTCCCTCTCTCCCTTTCAAATTGCATAACCGAATTTCTGTTAGCTGTACATATTTTTAGAACAAGGACACTCCACTGACAACAAATGCTAAATTTTGAGGACAGAAATTCACAAAATCTGACGCGTAAGCAATGCTACGCAAAGTGACATCTTCAAAATTCCAAGCTGTGCTCTGGTAGTGTATGTATGTGTATTTGTCATGCGAACTCAAATACGAATCTACTTGTATATGAAGGATTATATGTATATCTGCGTTTGAAATTGCTGTCATTTTGTGTGTAATTATGAGTATTTTGTGCGAGTTAAAAGCAGTCAGATGCAAATGCATAATGCATCACATATACTTAAGGAGATATATGGATGCACATAAAGACCGACACTATACTACTACCAGAATTACTCACTCATGTTCTTCTAAAAAATAATTTATTTGTTTACACCACCAAACTAACCAAAAACAACACAATAAACGCAAATAAACGCTATATGTGTACTAAGAGAATATATCGAAAGATTTCATAAATTTTTAGAGATAAATAGTATTATATTATACGAATTATCAGAGTGATCTACAATTTTATGATATGCTGATAGAAATATCGGGGAATACAGTCAACCTGGTGGACGGTCATCACTATCACTGATATATGAAAGAAGACAAACACCTATTTCTCAATTTCCAAAAAAAAAGTGTCGCTTATCGGCCGTACTATGTGTATATGGAAAATTTAATAAAAGATTATGACGTCAGTAGCAGGCACACAATTTTATTGAGTTTAATTAAGTCGTTTGTAAGGTATGAAATAACACAAAAATACCTACATTTTCTTCTTCATGCATAATCTAATTTTATCGGCATACAAGCCAAATTTAACATTCTTCCCACTTAATTGCAAAGTACAGCGTCAAAGTACAGAGTCAATTCTTCGCGTGATTCTCAACATTTTGAGATATATTCATTGGAAATATTTTTTAGTCTACTTCTTAAGTGCACAAAAACAACTGTTGTATCGCTGCAATATGCTTCGAGTGTATACAAATTTTTATGCTGTTTACTCTCACACATCGCCACCTCGTTAAGTGGATAAAGATTTTATTTAAAAGAAAACAAACATATATAGACTGCGTTACACATTGCTAACCAAAAGTAAACACCAATATATAAACATTTATTGAAGAATTAAACAGAATCGTAAACATGCAAACTGCACTGCTACTACATATATGTACATTTAGCAATCTAGTGCTGGTAAATGAACTTGCATGCGGAATTGTTTATTTTAATCCAACGAATAAATATCTCAAAACAAATTTCATTCAGCTATTTACAAATTATTGGCATTATAAAAACACGAACGCATGCCGCACAACCACACGTAAAATAAACACAGGCATTATTATATTACACAAATAGCTGGTTGTCGTGGCGTATGAGCAATATTTATTGGTCCTAAGTAAGCGCACAGTAGCACTAAAGCATTTGAGCAGCAACAACGCAGTTATAGCAAAACATAAATAAATATTTTATAATAAGCAGAGCAAGTGCAAAAAGAAAACAAATACATACATACAAATGTGAGAAAGTACTTTCATTGAGCTTAGATGGCCTCCCTAACAAGAATCACTCAGTTAGTTTACATCGGTTATGCACGAATTAGAAGGTATTTACAATTTGATCCTTTACCAAAAGTAAAGGCGACGATACACAGTAAATAAAATTATTATGAAACGCAAGTATTGCGTAGAATAGATGTAATAATAAGCGCTTCAATGGCCAAAGGGTTTATCAATAAGCTATTAATATAATTTGCCATAAATGCGCTCAAGCAGCGCTAAGCTCTTTCTAATATAATGAAGTTTACTTTTTTAACTAATATTGGCTAAGTATTTCTGCTTATTAGTATATTCTCAACCATTTTTTGGGTTTAAACGTGATTTTCTTTTTGTGTAGAAAATATTCCGAATATTTAATAGAAATATCATATCTACCGTATACATATTCAGATGCGTAGTATTTTATGCACACATTTCTATGAGAGCATACTCGTACATTCCCTGGAATTTCATATTAAAAGGAATGAAAAAGTCACATACGAACTAAATGAACTTTTACGAGCCCATGTGCTGGCGTTATAAAAATTCGCATAAATGAGAATGAATGTACCCATCAATTCACTGTTCGTTCACCGCAAAAAACTCTTAATGTATCTAGTGTTAGTACCGATAATTGCAGCAATAAAGGCTAAAAACTGTGTTGTATAAACTTAGCAATCAGGAAGTCGACGAAGAAACACAATAGCCGTCTGAAAATCAAGTATTTTCATTCAAATAATGAGCTACAATTGGGAAATGGCTCAGCTGAGATTTATACGCACGTACATACTACAACAATTTTATGTACTTATATCGGGTTTTTCAATAGGGATGTTATGATTTCTAAGTGTCGTTTAGGCCCCTGTTAATATGTCATGATATGTAATTTTTTTTTCTTGTACTCAGTAATGATTACAATTTCATCATAGAAAGATAAACGCAAGAACAACGTTTACAAATTATTCAATTTAATTATCAAAATAATCGTTCTCCATATAGCAACTTTTCATGCGCTTTTGAGAAAATCCTCTTCTCCGATGAGGCTAACTTTCATCTGTGTAGTTCGCTGAATAAACAAAACTGTCGATTCTGGTGCAAAAAGATCCACAAATTATTCATGAACAACCATTCTATTCATCTAAATTGACAGTTTGGTGTGGTTTTTGGTCTGGTGGAATCATCGATCCCTACTTCTTTCTAAATGAAGCTGGAGGTGACACCGTTACTGTCAATGGATAGCAGTATAGATCGATGATAACCAAATTTTTATGGGCGCAATTGAAACAAGTTGATCTTGACAACATCTGGTTCTAACAAGCACACAGCACGTGCAACAACTGAATTATTGCGAAAAAAGTTTATAGATTGGATAATTTCAAGAAATTGAATAGCGTACAATAAGTTGTGATTTAACACCATTAGATTAATTCTTATGGGGTTATTTGAAGCCATTGGTCTTTAGCAAAAAACCAGACTATCTTCAAGCTTTAAAAGTCAATATTGAACGTGCTATTCATGGCATACGATTTGATTTAGTGGAAAAAGAACTCGAAAATTTAATTCATCGAATTCGTTCCTGCACAAGAGGTCGTGGAGGCTATTTGAATGATGTTATATTCTGAATTTTATCGAATTTACTTCACATTAAATAAAAAAACTTAAATTTCTTT